GTTTGAAGAATCCCAAACAAAATCTCCCCTTAGTGATAATAGCTATGATTGGACACTTAAATGTCTCCTGAATTTGTATCGGATGAGGTAGCTCATGTGATATCATTAATTCTGAGTTTTTGATAAGATGGGCCTAGAAAGAGGAAACTTATAGTCGTACGAAGGCTCAGACTTGAATGTGTTTCATGGCGCAATAACCTGTCCATAGGGGTATGTATAATTACTAATATTTGTAGAGAAAGGGAAAGATGTCAGGTCTGTTAGTTTGTAGTTCCTCGTGATCCCCTGCAGGAGCGTCTACAATTGTATTTTTGGATGGCCCTTCGTAGCCACCTTAGACGGGGTAGCCTCATTAGTTCATCTCAAGCTTAAATACCACAATCTTTAAAGAATTTATCATAAATCCCTTAAGAATGATTAGATAGTTTCCTTAGATTAAATCTACTTAAATGAATTTTCCCTATTAATGTGAACCATGTAATTCGTTTAGATCTACTCTATTTAATGACCGACTTATTATATTTATTCAAAAAAAAGTTATGTTTAATATTGTTTTATTTACGGATTTGAGGGAAACAATATAGATAATGTTTGAGAAGTAACTATATACTATATTATTGGAATTAAATATTATTGAGAGGCTAATTGTAATCAACAGATATATACTCTATTGGGTAAAAATAGGGGTTGATTGATAAGCTAGCTGATAACTTATAACTTATAACTGATGACTGATGAATGATTACTGATAGCTTATAACTTATAGCTAATGGTTGTTGAATGATAATTGATAAGATAATTGATAAGATAATTGAAGTGTTTGATTAAATTAGCAATTCAGCTAGTTGATAAATGTAAAGTGACATAAAATGATATTTCTTAATTAATAATAAAATGTATATTTAAGATACTTAAATTTAATAATTTGAATTTATTAACGTAAATATATTTTATATATTATATTATTAAATTAATTTTTATTTGTTACAATTTTATTTTAAATTTATTTTTCTTTTCAAGTTTGCCTACAAACACTAGTTGTCAGAGTAGAAGAGATTGAAGAAACAAAGCAGCAATTGTGGAAATAGAAGAGGAAAGGGGGAATGACAGGGGAAAGGAGAAGGAGTTATAGAAATACATGCTTGATATTTGGTAATATTTGAATTTAATACATAATTGTTCTATTTTAATTTAAAATAAATTATAAAGGATAAAAGTGAATTTTAGTTAAAATAATAAAGTTTAAAGTGGAAAAAAATCAATAAGCTATAAACTATAAGTTAGAATGCTATTTGAAATAATGTCTGGAAAAAAGTTATAAACTCGTGATGAAAATGTCGTTACTAAACAAGTCTTTTATTGCCATATGAACTTATAAGATATAAGCTCAAAAATATGTCATGGAAAATAGAGTCATGGAGTATACACAATCATGGCATCTTTATTTTATGTTCAATCAAATCTTCGTTGGTTGTGGCTTTACCCAAAAGTTTGAGAGACTATGATCAGACGAGACATATTGAATGACGAGACATTACACATAATTATTTTATAAAATAATCGTGATATAAGAGATATCATTATAAGTTCAAGCAAAGATTAATCACATAACAATGAAAAAGGATTCAAAGGGGGGCTTAATCATTTCTCTCATTATAATTTTTAACCATTAATTAGTTTATTCAGTATTTACTATAATTGCACATCCAATCCAATTATGCTAGGCGTACTCCATTTTACTTTTTTTTCTCTATTCATTTACCTAATCACAAGTAGGATAACCTTAGTTTTGTAAAAGTTAAAATAACCTCTTTGGATCTACAATTTCACTTACCACTTATGAATTTTCATTGGCATAAATTATACTACACTTCTATTTTCACACCAAAAAATATGATGTGTTGGAATTAATTCAATAATAATTAATCACATATACATGTTTTACATATTATACCATATTCTTTAGTGTAGAATAAAATAAATAATATGAACATGTATATAATTACATGATCTATGAAATGTTAGTATATAAGAGATGAGATTGCAAAAATATCTGTATTTATAAGATAAAAGTATTTTGGTGATGATAATAATAATCCTGAAATGTAAAAGTGTAGAGACAAGTGACTGTCACTTGTTGGCTTGTAGATCTTCCTCAACTGGTACTCTTAATGCTTTGAACACTCTTTAGATGAGAATAAGAGGTAAAGTGTTTGTGTCTGCCATATTGTGGACCATAGCATATATGTAAGGCGATGACCAATTAGGGTTCCCATTATTCCGAAATAAGTCATCCTAACATCCACTCATATTTGAACCAATATCCAATTAATTAATTAATTACTAAATAGAAATCTAATTAGCCTTGTAAACTTTATTTGACCACTTAATCAATTAAGGATCTTAATTTGATAAATAGCTAATATAATTCATATAAATATATTTGCCCACATAATAACTATTGAAATATAATAATTAAATAGTATTTAACTATAAAATATTCCAACAATCTCCCACATAGAAAATATATCTTAATAATTATATCATACTCTTTAGGTGCGCATCTGAATTCTATTTATCCTTAGATTTCAACTTTACAATCTGGTCAATCTCATATATTATTACATTAATAATGAAACCAGCGCGGTTGTCGTCACAGATATATAACACGACGAAACCCCCCGACGACCACCACATCAATGTATTTGATGACATAAATCAATATGGATGAGTGACATGGAAATTTCATGTAATGAGAATTCTGAATCATGCTTATTTCCAACTGGTCCAACTGAAATATTTATTGAGATTAAACTAAAGTTTGCAAATTCAACATTCGCACAAACGATACAAAAATGGTCATCACAATAATTACCTCATAAACTTTATTTTTGGATATAATCTTAACATAAAGTTTGTATCAATATCAAAACAATATTATAAAACATAAAGAATGAGTGACTCCACTATCTAAGACATCCTTAGTGAAAACAATGATATAAAATACCTTATATGTCCGGTCTTTGATTAGTGAGTCTTTAGCTTAAATTCCATATGTATATATTCTAGTTTCGACAATAATAACTTATAAGTCAGCAAACCTTTTAAAATCTATTATTGAAACACTATATGATTATCTTACAACACATTATAACTTGAGTGGTCTTTCAAAGTCTTACATTAAATTGTAAATGAATGACATAAATACTTACCTTCATTTATTATGTATTAGAATGTCTATTCAACATCTAAAAATGTTGGAGTCAAACATACTAATGATCTCCCCATCGTAAGATCTCTGATTTGTAACACATGCTCTTTTTGTTATCTATAATAATCTTCATGGTTGTCCTTTTATTTTTCAACAGTTCAATATTGATATGATCAAGTGCACACATTTTCCATATGCATATAAGAAAAATCATATATAAAATTCTTACGATCAAAACATAGGAATGTACTCAAACTTTCAAAATTTTCAAATTTACTTTAAGGCATTTATAATTGAGACCTAATAGTCACTTTGTAATTGAAATATCCTAAATATTATTGTATTTCATGTTGAGTTTACTTTTAACCTTATTGATAAAACTCTTTTGTGATATTTGAAGTGTGATATCTGAAGGGTACCTTGAGAATAATCTATAAATATCAAAATAAATTAATAAAAAAGAGGTTCCCCAAGATCTTTTATAACTAATATAATAAAATTGACGGATTATAAAAAAAATATAAACTTACTCACACTGACTTTGTAATACCCACAATTTTTTCTCATATCTCAAAACTGAATGAAACAACTAACTTTAAAATATTCATCTTAAAACCAAATAAAATAGCTAACATCATAATATTCATCTCAAAACCAAATGAGACAATTAAAACCATAATGTTTATCTCAAAACCAAATGAGATAATTAACTTAGAGGACTATGTGGTATCGTTAAAGAGGTATATTTATTAACTCATAAATGAATTTTATTAATTTGCAAACTATATTCTTTTTGTCTATTGACATAAAATTTCTCATAACTACACCATATTATTTCAAGAATATTTTCATTAAGAAATAAAATATTATCATTCATCTCATGTAGATCCAAAATTTTATAATGAGTAAAGAGTATCATTACTATCCAAATTGAGAATTTCAAGAAAAACTAATTGATTTCTCTTTATAGTCAATCATTTCTGATACATGGTACTCTAGTTCTTGAGGGTATTGAATTTGATCAATTTGTCAACTTGCTTGAGAAAAAGAACAATAATGTTATCGTGAGAGGATCAATTTTTTTTTTGAGGAAAAAACAATTTCATTAAGGGCCAATGGCCAGCAATGAAATAGGAGAGGAAACATCATTAGGGATAGAACCCCACCAAGTCCTACAACCTAAAGCTTTACCAATCCCAACCATATGATGGGCATTAGAGTTAAACTCTATTCTAATAATAGAGACAATCACAACTTCAAAGAGGTTCATTAACAAATTACAGTCCACTACTAAAGGTTCTAAGACAGCAGAAAACACAATGATTAACACAGTCAACAACTCCCATAGCATCTGATAGGATAATGACTTTCTTAAGCTTTAAATCCTTTTCTAGCCGAAGCCCCCAAACTATCGCCATTGCTTATACTACACAAGCATCAGTAGAGTTATGAAGCCTCTTACAGACAGTCAGCGAAACCTGTAACTTATGATCCCTTATGACACAACCCAAAGCCATATCATTATCTAGATAGCATTCAACGTCCATCTTGATAACATAACAGTCATGTTGGTTATCAACATGCAAACCAATATCAATGACCCTTTTCTTGACTATCAACGAAGGGTTGGCACAGTTGAATTCAACAACATGGTCCAAAGCTTCCAAAGCAACCACCTGCGGAGGATTCAATTTTTTTGGAGAAGACACAATCATTCTTGCACTTCCAAATCTTCCATAGAGTGGTGCAAACCAATTGAATACTAACAGGATCCTTAAGCTCAAGTCCCATGTCCAGCCACTTCAAAGGGTCGAGATTAGGAGGTATACAAAAACCAAGAGGAGAAGAGAACCAGGCACACTTTGCAAATTGGCATTCCGAGAAAACATGTTGGGTAGATTTAGGAAACTCAAGGCAAAAAGGGCAGTCAGTTTCAATTTTCATACCTTTTTTCACAAGGTTTACCCTAGTAGGGAGGATGTTCTTGCCAAAGCGCCAGATGAAATTTCTTATACGCGGATGGACCAGGGCCTTCCAAACCTTCTTCCATAGGGAGGTATTATGCGGTGAAGAAGGACTATCCTTCAAGCCTTCTCTCTTGTTTCTTTGTAAATGATAGGCATATCAGACCGAATACTCACGATCTTTATGCTAGTGCCAAATCAACTTATCCACCCTGATGTTTCTTGATAGAGGAATACTAACAATTTGATTCACTTCCCAAGGCCCGAACCATTCGTTCAATAGATAGGAATTCCAATAGGCAGTGTTAGCTTCAATTAACTCTAAGATATAAGCATCATGTACCCGGTCACGTCTAGCACTAATAACTCAAAAATTCGCATTCTTCGGGAGCCAATTATCCACCCATTCTCCACCGGGAGCTTGGAATCACCACCTCTCTAGCGTAAAGAATGATTTTCCAAACATAGTTAGACGCATAACCCTCCATGGCCTCTTGAACAGAACACCGAGGAAAATATCTACACTTAAGAACTTCAGACAACAGACTACTTTTACCTGTCAAGATTCTCCAAAAATGCTTGCCAAGCAGACTTAGATTAAAATTAGAAATTCCTCTGAAATCCAACCCACCATCTCATTTAGACATCACAAGCCTCTTCCAGTTGGCCCAATGAATCTTCCTCACACGTTCCCTAGAACCCCGCTAGAATTTTGACATCATACCCTCCAGATCCTTGCAGACACCTTCTGGGAGCTTAAAACAACTCCTCACATAGGATGAGATTTCTTGAGCTACAACTTTTATCAGAACCTCTTTTTTTGCCATAGATAAAACTCCTTCTTTCCACCCTTTTAGCTTCTTCCAAACATGGTCAAGAACAAGAGAGAAAACTTCTTTTTTGGATCTTCCAAAAACAACCGACAGACCTAGATATCTTGAATGAGATTGGACAGTGTTTATTCCCATCCTATTACGGATCATTTCTGTGACAGAATCAGACACATTTTGACTGAAAGAAGCTTCATACTTATCGAGGTTGACCATTTGACTAGAAGAAACTTGATAATGCTTTAGAATATCTAGAATTTTATTTGCTTCTAAGATACTTGCTCTAGAGAACATCAGGTTATCATCAGTAAAGAAGAGGTGAGAGATTTTGCGGGCTTTTCTCGCTACCTGAATCCCATGAATCCTATTTGCTTTAGCCTCAAATTTTAGCATCCCTGAGAGAACATCTGCACATAGAATAAAAAGGTAAGGGGAAAGGGGATCTCCTTGCCGGAGACCCGAGAGAATTTTTTCTTGGTTGACCGTTGAGGAGGAATTGTAATCTATTTGTTATATAGTTTCCTAATTCATAATTTAATATATGAAACAAAATTAACTTTAATTTGATGCATGCATATTTACTGAATCAACTTCAATCTTATATTTAATAATATTAGTTTCATACCATCCAAGTCTGACTCTGTTCTTGATTGGCTGTTATTATTAATAACTTCAAAGTAGGTGAATGGTAATTGTTAAACAAACAACATAATAAAAAGGTCAGATACATATAACTTTGCTAAAAATTATCTTGTACACACATTTATTAAGTAATACAAACATGACTTGGATCAGTATGTTAACCATGTGATCAACAATGCTGATTTCACTAACTAAAACTAAGTGATCATCGAACATTGCAATTAACAGGTAAACATAGGGGAAGAATAATCAATATTAGTGATAATGCCCAACTTAATTTTTGAATGAGCTTGGATCGCTGAGCAAACTTCAGACCGCTAGTGTTTTGTTAGAAAAGTTAAATGGAAAGAATAGTCAATATTAGTGATAAAAGAAATAAATAATGGTTAAGACGTTCGATAATTTCAAGAAATGAACTGTGAAAACCAAATGGATGGGCTGACATTTGCAATGATCATTGTTTTTGAGTTCCCACCTAGAGAATCCTGCACATATATTTTTGGGAGTAAAGTAATGTTACAACGGAGAATAATGCACTAAATGGTATGCAACATTCATCGCATTTGAAGGAAGTCCCGCTCAAAAGGGCAAACATCTCGTCTGAGGGACTTATACTCCCACCATGCGAGCAATATTCAAATCTTTCTCAAAGACTTAGATTCTCCAGGTGTTTACCGTGGTTATTGGTAAACAACCGCTGATCCTCCAAATGGTTATTTATTTGGTTACTCGCAGGATCGATCAGATTGATCCTAGGACATAGGTTGATTTTGAGGTTTTGATTAAATTGGATATTGATTAAGTGGCAATAAAATAAAGAGGCTTTAAGTAAATTGCATGAAGAAGTAGGCTTGGTAAAATAAATGAAGGCTTAAAGTAAAGGATTTCGACAGGAAAGTAAAGAAGAAAGCAAGTAAATTTCTAGAAAAAGTAAATGACTTTGATTAATAAAGTTGGTGTTTCACACATACATTTCTCAACAATTCTTTCTCACACGCTGGGTACTCGAATCTATATGAGTGACTTTGTATATAATTGTGAACACACGCGAGAAACTGCGTGAACTACTATTATTTATACTAAAACATCCCAAGTAACCGTCGGGCAGTTACACTGCTTCGAGATGATTCCACTTGGCACGTTCTCAACGTTCGACGCCCCAGATCTTTGCACGTTGCACTTGGTAACCGCTAGAAACCGTTTTCCCTCCAAACGCTTGAATTTCAAACCGTTCCACTCTGAACCATCGAACACCTTCGTCGAGAAGAATCTTCGACGAGAAACACCTTCGACGTCGAAGGCAACCAACTTCTCTCTTGGAAGAAATCTTCTAAGTACATTGCCATCTTTCGATGGGCATTTCGACAGACTCAGCTGATCGAAAACAACCTTCAGCTTTAATGGCTGACATTAATGAAACAAGGGTGTCGAATTTAAAAGCCAACAAATTGCCCCCCAAGAATGCCTTATTTCGACTCTGAAAGAAAAAGACATTCTTTGAAATACCATTCGACACCTGTCTTTTCATTCCTAGTCACAAATTAAATTGTGCACTTTTTGTTGTCTTCTACCAACCACTGACAATCCCAAGAAAAACCATCATTTATCCGTACCTAAGACGTCACCTCAGTACGGCGTGCAGTGTGCCAAACGTCATTTCACAAATTGTCATCATGACAATTCCAAAAAACGAGGGCGCACGCTGCACCCCTCCATTTCTGCAGAACGGCTAAAACAACAGGGAGACGCCACGTGTCCCACTACCTTCTGCAACATTAAATGGCATTTAATGTCCTCGATTTTGGGGATTTTCCCCCACTACTATAAATAGCAGTAAGTACCCATTGTGGGACTTTTTACGCTATCTAGCTTTCAGACTTCTCCATTTGCACACAAACTTGTCAACTTTGTAAACCTCTTTTCTTCACTTCGTCTTCATCCTCACCACTAACAATGGCATCTGGTTCTTCCAATGCTCCTAGCGCCAACGCACCATCTGGAAACGTCAAACCTAGGGTTTTCGTCACCGCTCCAGTAGTGACTTCCACGGGCCAACGAAGGGTCCCTGAACCTTTGGACATTGCTGTACGTGATGCTTACTCACGCCACCTTATGATTCCGGTTGGATATTCCAACCAGATCTTTGCTATGTCTGGCCCATTGTACCCAAGTATTGCTGAGGCCATGAAGATCAAAAGTTATTTTCCGGTAGTTGAGAGACTCAAACCGGTTGCATGCGCCAAGAAAGATGCAGAGGATAATGAAGACCCTGCTAAAGAGAAAATCGACCTCTGTTTCTTCAACAAAGGTGTTAGGGCTTTCAGGTCTGGCCCTAGCCTTACTCCTGATTACAGTGCTTGGCTGGAAAAAATGGAGAAACGCCAAGCTTCGATCTGGAAAGACATGGGGATTTTCGACCTGGTTATGCTGTCGAAGACAGGTCTTAACTATTCCCCAGAGATGTTGATAGCTTCCCTACTCTTCTGGGACTACTCCCACTTCACCTTCCATCTTCCCTGTGGAATGCTGACTCCCACACTCTTCGATGTGGCCGCCATCACTGGCCTTCGACCTACTGGGGACTACTTCGACCCAGAAGAAATGTCGGAGGATCAAATTGGATTCTCTGCCACAAAACCAACCTACACCACCTTCATCAATCACTACCATGACAGGTCGACAGATGCTGTGTCGGATGTCGAACACATTGCGTTTCTAGCCTTATGGCTGACACGCTTTGTGTTTTGCTCCAAGTCCTTACAGGTGACCAAGAAGATGGTCACTCTCGCCACTCAACTCCATCATGGCCAAAATATCTGTTTGGCAGAATTGATTTTGGCTAGCCTGTATGAGTCGATTAGTAATGGAGCGACTCTTCTGAAGATTATCGAGAACAGGGCTAGCCTGCTGCTTGCTGGACCTTTTTGGATGCTCCAACTGTGGCTCAACGCCACCTTCGAATCTTTCTTGCCTAAGAAGATTCAAATAAATGAGCAGGCTCCAGAGATAGCGAACAGACGTGTCGAAGGAACCAGACTGGCTCTGTTGACTCCAATGGAAGATGGACTGGAACTTCAGCAAAGTTTCACAAACTTCGTTCTGATGTTTGCTAGAAGGAAAGAGTTTGCTTCGACTATGGCTCCGTTTGCTCGACGGAAGGTAGGCCCAGCGTGGTTCACAAGGCCACATCCTAGGACGTCGAGTGGTCCTCAGGTTGACAAACATACAACAATGTGGGAGGCGTTCCTCACACCAAGAATCATGCCTCTTCGATTCAGGAGCTCTAAGACTCACTTGAGTCTGATTGCATATCAACCAAACCTGGTGTCTCGCCAGTTTGGTATTATTCAATTACTACCTTCTCCAATTTTTCCAAGGGAGAAGTCTATGTTATACTTCTGCAACGACTACACCGAAGAAGCTGCCACTAAACATATCGGAAGATATGCTGGTCGAACAGTTCTTTCGTTGTTTGACTACCAGCTTAACTTTCTTTGCTCACCATCCTTCGAGGAGTGGTGGAAAAGTTATTACGCTGAGAAGTTTTTCGACGAGAAGGACTTCGTGGATGAGCTTCAGAAATCTTTTGTCCTTGTCTTGGACAAAATAAAGAAATGTAAGTTCATCCTTTCAAATTACTTTGTCTTTCTCTTTCGACTGCTAGCCTGTTAATTATTTTATCTGCTTTCAGTTGTTCGAAAGCCTGCAGCCAAGAAGGCTGCAGAAGGCCAACAGGGAGGAGGCCCCTCAACAAAACCTCCACCGCCGGCGAAGACTATAGCGCCGGCGAAGACCACAACAAACCAACAGGGGGAAGGCCCTTCGAAAAAGCCTTCTGTATCGGTAACCAGACTTTCATTATTTTCTTCTGGCTTTGACTTTTGACTTTCGATGTAACTGCTAAATCGAATTCCCATTGGTTTCTTAGGCACCTTCGCCCAAGAAACGGCCAGCACTGATGGTCGAATCTGGGAGCGACGAAGAAGATGATTCTCCCCCTGCTCCTCTAAAAAGGCGAAAGCTGACGAAGGACGCTCCTGCTCCTGAGGGTCGAACAATTAGAATAAAGGTTGCTAGGAGAAAGCCCAGGCCACCTCCAGTGATTATTGAGGAGCCAACGGAGGAGGAATTAAACGTTCTTCTCAATAAGCCTGTCGAAAGCGACAATTCCAGCCCTGGGGCTGAAGCTAATTTACAGGTAATCTCTTAGACCTCTTTGTAAATCAGGTGTAGATACCTACATTCGACTATGTCTCTTTCGAATTTTGAAGATTCTTCTTCTTTTTCAGGACACCACTGAAAGCTCACCGCCAAGGACTTCTGAAACATTGGAGTCTGCTGAACTCAGCAGGCCACAAGAAAAAGGCTTTTGGAGAATGACGAAGCCCATACTGAAATAAATGAGGCCAATGCTGAAACGGCAGAAAAACCAGCAGAAGATCCTCAAACAGAAGAGCAACAGCCAAAAGAGATTCAGGTGGTGGATCTGTCGGAAGAGAATCGTGACGAAGGGGACCATGGCAACGCTGGCGAAGAGGATCAAGGTGCCGCTGGCAAAGAAAACCAAGGTGACGCTGGCAAAGGGCACCATGATGACGCTGGTACTGTCGCAGTCCGAGTCGAAGGGAATCAAGTCGAGGCAACTGTCATTCAACAGCCTCAAACCCAAGACAATGTTGTTGCAAGGGCTGTTACCTCAACAAAGCACAGGTCGAAAGAGGACTTAGAACTCTTGAAGCAAACTGATCCTGTTAGTTATCTGAACGCCATCATCGAGAGCAAGAGTTCGTCTGACACTAGCCAGGAGGTTCCTACCCTGTCGGGGAAGTCCACTGAAACTTCTCC